GGCCCTCTATTCATAATCCAGAGTTTTGAGAAGATTGGAGAAACTTGATTTTTCGCCCAAAAACGAAAAAAAACGTAAGGGGTAACACTGTCGTTTTTTTTCGGGTCGAAATTTTGAATTTCGATATCTCAGCTCTGGAAGGGTCTAGAGCCTCCATTTTTGCACTCAGGTCAAAGTCTCACAGCCCTCTATCATAATCCAGAGTTTTGAGAAGATTGGAGAAACTTGATTTTTCGCCCAAAAACGAAAAAAAACGTAAGGGGTAACACTGTCGTTTTTTTTTCGGGTCGAAATTTTGAGTTTCGATATCTCAGCTCTGGAAGGGTCTAGAGCCTCCATTTTTGCGCTCAGGTCAAAGTCTCGCGGCCCTCTATCATAATCCAGAGTTTTGAGAAGATTGGAGAAACTGGATTTTTCGCCCAAAACGAAAAAAAAACGTAAGGGGTAACACTGTCGTTTTTTTTTCGGGTCGAAATTTTGAGTTTCGATATCTCAGCTCTGGAAGGGTCTAGAGCCTCCATTTTTGCACTCAGGTCAAAGTCTCACGGCCCTCTATCATAATCCAGAGTTTGAGAAGATTGGAGAAACTTGTTTTTTCGCCCGAAAACGAAAAAAAACGTAAGGGGTAACACTGTCGTTTTTTTTTTCGGGTCGAAATTTGAGTTTTCGATATCTCAGCTCTGGAAGGGTCTAGAGCCTCCATTTTTGCGCTCAGGCCAAAGTCTCACGGCCCTCTATCATAATCCAGAGTTTTGAGAAGATTGGAGAAACTTGATTTTTCGCCCGAAAACGAAAAAAAACGTAAGGGGTAACACTGTCGTTTTTTTTTTCGGGTCGAAATTTTGAGTTTCGATATCTCAGCTCTGGAAGGGTCTAGAGCCTCCATTTTTGCACTCAGGTCAAAGTCTCGCGGCCCTCTATCATAATCCAGAGTTTTGAGAAGATTGGAGAAACTTGATTTTTCGCCCAAAAACGAAAAAAAAAAACGTAAGGGGTAACACTGTCGTTTTTTTTCGGGTCGAAATTTTGAGTTCGATATCTCAGCTCTGGAAGGGTCTAGAGCCTCCATTTTTGCGCTCAGGTCAAAGTCTCACGGCCCTCTATCATAATCCAGAGTTTTGAGAAGATTGGAGAAACTTGATTTTTCGCCCAAAAAACGAAAAAAAAACGTAAGGGTAACACTGTCGTTTTTTTTTCGGGTCGAAATTTTGAATTTCGATATCTCAGCTCTGGAAGGGTCTAGAGCCTCCATTTTTGCGCTCAGGTCAAAGTCTCACAGCCCTCTATCATAATCCAGAGTTTTGAGAAGATTGGAGAAACTTGATTTTTTCGCCCAAAAACGAAAAAAAACGTAAGGGGTAACACTGTCGTTTTTTTTTTTCGGTCGAAATTTTGAGTTTCGATATCTCAGCTCTGGAAGGGTCTAGAGCCTCCATTTTTGCGCTCAGGTCAAAGTCTCGCGGCCCTCTATCATAATCCAGAGTTTTGAGAAGATTGGAGAAACTGGATTTTTCGCCCAAAAACGAAAAAAAAACGTAAGGGGTAACACTGTCGTTTTTTTTTCGGGTCGAAATTTTGAGTTTCGATATCTCAGCTCTGGAAGGGTCTAGAGCCTCCATTTTTGCGCTCAGGTCAAAGTCTCGCGGCCCTCTATCATAATCCAGAGTTTTGAGAAGATTGGAGAAACTGGATTTTCGCCCAAAAACGAAAAAAAACGTAAGGGGTAACACTGTCGTTTTTTTTTCGGGTCGAAATTTTGAGTTTCGATATCTCAGCTCTGGAAGGGTCTAGAGCCTCCATTTTTGCGCTCAGGTCAAAGTCTCGCGGCCTCTATCATAATCCAGAGTTTTGAGAAGATTGGAGAAACTTGATTTTTCGCCCAAAAACGAAAAAAAACGTAAGGGGTAACACTGTCGTTTTTTTTTCGGGTCGAAATTTTGAATTTCGATATCTCAGCTCTGGAAGGGTCTAGAGCCTCCATTTTTGCACTCAGGTCAAAGTCTCACAGCCCTCTATCATAATCCAGAGTTTTGAGAAGATTGGAGAAACTTGATTTTTCGCCCAAATTTGAAAAAAAACGTAAGGGGTAACACTGTCGTTTTTTTTTCGGGTCGAAATTTTGAGTTTCGATATCTCAGCTCTGGAAGGGTCTAGAGCCTCCATTTTTGCGCTCAGGTCAAAGTCTCGCGGCCCTCTATCATAATCCAGAGTTTTGAGAAGATTGGAGAAACTGGATTTTTCGCCAAAAACGGAAAAAAACGTAAGGGGTAACACTGTCGTTTTTTTTCGGGTCGAAATTTTGAGTTTCCATATCTCAGCTCTGGAAGGGTCTAGAGCCTCCATTTTTGCGCTCAGGCCAAAGTCTCACGGCCCTCTATCATAATCCAGAGTTTTGAGAAGATTGGAGAAACTTGATTTTTCGCCCGAAAACGAAAAAAAAACGTAAGGGGTAACACTGTCGTTTTTTTTTCGGGTCGAAATTTTGAGTTTCCATATCTCAGCTCTGGAAGGGTCTAGAGCCTCCATTTTTGCGCTCAGGCCAAAGTCTCACGGCCCTCTATCATAATCCAGAGTTTTGAGAAGATTGGAGAAACTTGATTTTTTCGCCCGAAAACGAAAAAAAACGTAAGGGGTAACACTGTCGTTTTTTTTTTCGGGTCGAAATTTTGAGTTTCGATATCTCAGCTCTGGAAGGGTCTAGAGCCTCCATTTTTGCGCTCAGGTCAAAGTCTCGCGGCCCTCTATCATAATCCAGAGTTTTGAGAAGATTGGAGAAACTTGATTTTTCGCCCAAAAACGAAAAAAAAAACGTAAGGGGTAACACTGTCGTTTTTTTTTCGGGTCGAAATTTTGAATTTCGATATCTCAGCTCTGGAAGGGTCTAGAGCCTCCATTTTTGCGCTCAGGCCAAAGTCTCACAGCCCTCTATCATAATCCAGAGTTTTCAGAAGATTGGAGAAACTTGATTTTTCGCCCAAAAACGAAAAAAAACGTAAGGGGTAACACTGTCGTTTTTTTTTTCGGGTCGAAATTTTGAATTTCGATATCTCAGCTCTGGAAGGGTCTAGAGCCTCCATTTTTGCACTCAGGTCAAAGTCTCGCGGCCCTCTATCATAATCCAGAGTTTTGAGAAGATTGGAGAAACTTAATTTTTCGCCCAAAAACGAAAAAAACGTAAGGGGTAACACTGTCGTTTTTTTTTCGGGTCGAAATTTTGAGTTTCGATATCTCAGCTCTGGAAGGGTCTAGAGCCTCCATTTTTGCGCTCAGGTCAAAGTCTCGCGGCCCTCTATCATAATCCAGAGTTTTGAGAAGATTGGAGAAACTTGATTTTTCGCCCAAAAACGAAAAAAAAACGTAAGGGGTAACACTGTCGTTTTTTTTTCGGGTCGAAATTTTGAATTTCGATATCTCAGCTCTGGAAGGGTCTAGAGCCTCCATTTTTGCGCTCAGGTCAAAGTCTCACAGCCCTCTATCATAATCCAGAGTTTTGAGAAGATTGGAGAAACTTGATTTTTCGCCCAAAAACGAAAAAAAACGTAAGGGGTAACACTGTCGTTTTTTTTTTCGGGTCGAAATTTTGAGTTTCGATATCTCAGCTCTGGAAGGGTCTAGAGCCTCCATTTTTGCGCTCAGGTCAAAGTCTCGCGGCCCTCTATCATAATCCAGAGTTTTGAGAAGATTGGAGAAACTTGATTTTTCGCCCAAAAACGAAAAAAAACGTAAGGGGTAACACTGTCGTTTTTTTTTCGGGTCGAAATTTTGAGTTTCGATATCTCAGCTCTGGAAGGGTCTAGAGCCTCCATTTTTGCGCTCAGGCCAAAGTCTCGCGGCCCTCTATCATAATCCAGAGTTTTGAGAAGATTGGAGAAACTTGATTTTTCGCCCAAAAACGAAAAAAAACGTAAGGGGTAACACTGTCGTTTTTTTTTCGGGTCGAAATTTTGAATTTCGATATCTCAGCTCTGGAAGGGTCTAGAGCCTCCATTTTTGCACTCAGGTCAAAGTCTCACAGCCCTCTATCATAATCCAGAGTTTTGAGAAGATTGGAGAAACTTGATTTTTCGCCCAAAAACGAAAAAAAACGTAAGGGGTAACACTGTCGTTTTTTTTTCGGGTCGAAATTTTGAGTTTCGATATCTCAGCTCTGGAAGGGTCTAGAGCCTCCATTTTTGCGCTCAGGTCAAAGTCTCGCGGCCCTCTATCATAATCCAGAGTTTTGAGAAGATTGGAGAAACTGGATTTTTCGCCCAAAAACGAAAAAAAACGTAAGGGGTAACACTGTCGTTTTTTTTTCGGGTCGAAATTTTGAGTTTCCATATCTCAGCTCTGGAAGGGTCTAGAGCCTCCATTTTTGCGCTCAGGTCAAAGTCTCACGGCCCTCTATCATAATCCAGAGTTTTGAGAAGATTGGAGAAACTTGATTTTTCGCCCAAAAACGAAAAAAAACGTAAGGGGTAACACTGTCGTTTTTTTTCGGGTCGAAATTTTGAGTTTCGATATCTCAGCTCTGGAAGGGTCTAGAGCCTCCATTTTTGCGCTCAGGTCAAAGTCTCGCGGCCCTCTATCATAATCCAGAGTTTTGAGAAGATTGGAGAAACTTGATTTTTCGCCCAAAAACGAAAAAAAACGTAAGGGGTAACACTGTCGTTTTTTTTTTCGGGTCGAAATTTTGAATTTCGATATCTCAGCTCTGGAAGGGTCTAGATCCTCCATTTTTGCACTCAGGTCAAAGTCTCGCGGCCCTCTATCATAATCCAGAGTTTTGAGAAGATTGGAGAAACTGGATTTTTCGCCCAAAAACGAAAAAAAACGTAAGGGGTAACACTGTCGTTTTTTTTTCGGGTCGAAATTTTGAGTTTTCGATATCTCAGCTCTGGAAGGGTCTAGAGCCTCCATTTTTGCGCTCAGGTCAAAGTCTCGCAGCCCTCTATCATAATCCAGAGTTTTGAGAAGATTGGAGAAACTTGATTTTTCGCCCGAAAACGAAAAAAAACGTAAGGGGTAACACTGTCGTTTTTTTTTCGGGTCGAAATTTTGAGTTTCCATATCTCAGCTCTGGAAGGGTCTAGAGCCTCCATTTTTGCGCTCAGGTCAAAGTCTCACGGCCCTCTATCATAATCCAGAGTTTTGAGAAGATTGGAGAAACTTGATTTTTCGCCCAAAAACGAAAAAAAACGTAAGGGGTAACACTGTCGTTTTTTTTTCGGGTCGAAATTTTGAGTTTCGATATCTCAGCTCTGGAAGGGTCTAGAGCCTCCATTTTTGCGCTCAGGTCAAAGTCTCGCGGCCCTCTATCATAATCCAGAGTTTTGAGAAGATTGGAGAAACTTGATTTTTCGCCCAAAAACGAAAAAAAAACGTAAGGGGTAACACTGTCGTTTTTTTTTTCGGGTCGAAATTTTGAGTTTCGATATCTCAGCTCTGGAAGGGTCTAGAGCCTCCATTTTTGCGCTCAGGTCAAAGTCTCGCGGCCCTCTATCATAATCCAGAGTTTTGAGAAGATTGGAGAAACTTGATTTTTTCGCCCAAAACGAAAAAAAACGTAAGGGGTAACACTGTCGTTTTTTTTTCGGGTCGAAATTTTGAGTTTCCATATCTCAGCTCTGGAAGGGTCTAGAGCCTCCATTTTTGCGCTCAGGTCAAAGTCTCACAGCCCTCTATCATAATCCAGAGTTTTGAGAAGATTGGAGAAACTTGATTTTTCGCCCAAAAACGAAAAAAAACGTAAGGGGTAACACTGTCGTTTTTTTTTCGGGTCGAAATTTTGAGTTTCCATATCTCAGCTCTGGAAGGGTCTAGAGCCTCCATTTTTGCGCTCAGGTCAAAGTCTCACAGCCCTCTATCATAATCCAGAGTTTTGAGAAGATTGGAGAAACTTAATTTTTCGCCCGAAAACGAAAAAAAACAAAAGGGGTAACACTGTCGTTTTTTTTTCGGGTCGAAATTTTGAATTTCGATATCTCAGCTCTGGAAGGGTCTAGAGCCTCCATTTTTGCACTCAGGTCAAAGTCTCACAGCCCTCTATCATAATCCAGAGTTTTGAGAAGATTGGAGAAACTGGATTTTTCGCCCAAAAACAAAAAAAAAAACGTAAGGGGTAACACTGTCGTTTTTTTTTCGGGTCGAAATTTTGAGTTTCGATATCTCAGCTCTGGAAGGGTCTAGAGCCTCCATTTTTGCGCTCAGGCCAAAGTCTCGCGGCCCTCTATCATAATCCAGAGTTTTGAGAAGATTGGAGAAACTTGATTTTTCGCCCAAAAACGAAAAAAAACGTAAGGGGTAACACTGTCGTTTTTTTTTCGGGTCGAAATTTTGAGTTTCCATATCTCAGCTCTGGAAGGGTCTAGATCCTTCATTTTTGCGCTCAGGTCGAAGTCTCGCGGCCCTCTATCATAATCCAGAGTTTTGAGAAGATTGGAGAAACTTGATTTTTCGCCCAAAAACGAAAAAAAACGTAAGGGGTAACACTGTCGTTTTTTTTTCGGGTCGAAATTTTGAGTTTCCATATCTCAGCTCTGGAAGGGTCTAGAGCCTCCATTTTTGCGCTCAGGCCAAAGTCTCACGGCCCTCTATCATAATCCAGAGTTTTGAGAAGATTGGAGAAACTTGTTTTTTCGCCCGAAAACAAAAAAAAACGTAAGGGGTAACACTGTCGTTTTTTTTTCGGGTCGAAATTTTGAGTTTCCATATCTCAGCTCTGGAAGGGTCTAGAGCCTCCATTTTTGCGCTCAGGCCAAAGTCTCACGGCCCTCTATCATAATCCAGAGTTTTAAGAAGATTGGAGAAACTTGATTTTTCGCCCAAAAACGAAAAAAAAACGTAAGGGGTAACACTGTCGTTTTTTTTTCGGGTCGTAATTTTGAGTTTCGATATCTCAGCTCTGGAAGGGTCTAGAGCCTCCATTTTTGCACTCAGGTCAAAGTCTCACAGCCCTCTATCATAATCCAGAGTTTTGAGAAGATTGGAGAAACTTGATTTTTCGCCCAAAAACGAAAAAAAAACGTAAGGGGTAACACTGTCGTTTTTTTTTCGGGTCGTAATTTTGAGTTTCGATATCTCAGCTCTGGAAGGGTCTAGAGCCTCCATTTTTGCGCTCAGGTCAAAGTCTCGCGGCCCTCTATCATAATCCAGAGTTTTGAGAAGATTGGAGAAACTTGATTTTTCGCCCAAAAACGAAAAAAAAACGTAAGGGGTAACACTGTCGTTTTTTTTTCGGGTCGAAATTTTGAGGTTCGATATCTCAGCTCTGGAAGGGTCTAGAGGCTCCATTTTTGCACTCAGGTCTAAGTCTCATGGCCCTCTATCATAATCCAGAGTTTTGAGAAGATTGGAGAAACTTAATTTTTCGCCTGAAAAAAAAAAAGAAAAGGGTACCACTGTCGTTTTTTTTTTTCGGGTCGAATTTTTGAGTTTCGATATCTCAGCTCTAGAAGGGTCTAGAGCCTCCATTTTTGCGCTCAGGTCTAAGTCTCATGACCCTCTATCAGAATCCAGAGTTTTGAGAAGATAGGGGAAACTTAATTTTTCGCCCAAAAACGAAAAAAAAAAACTTAATTTTTTTCGGGTCGAATTTTTGAGTTTCGATATCTCAGCTCTAGAAGGGTCTAGATCCTTCATTTTTGCGCTCAGGTCGAAGTCTCGCGGCCCTCTATCATAATCCAGAGTTTTGAGAAGATTGGAGAAACTTGATTTTTCGCCCAAAAACGAAAAAAAAACGTAAGGGGTAACACTGTCGTTTTTTTTTCGGGTCGAAATTTTGAGTTTCCATATCTCAGCTCTGGAAGGGGTAACACTGTCGTTTTTTTTTCGGGTCGAAATTTTGAGGTTCGATATCTCAGCTCTGGAAGGGTCTAGAGGCTCCATTTTTGCACTCAGGTCTAAGTCTCATGGCCCTCTATCAGAATCCAGAGTTTTGAGAAGATTGGAGAAACTTAATTTTTCGCCTGAAAAAAAAAAAGAAAAGGGTACCACTGTCGTTTTTTTTTTTTCGGGTCGAATTTTTGAGTTTCGATATCTCAGCTCTAGAAGGGTCTAGAGCCTCCATTTTTGCGCTCAGGTCTAAGTCTCATGACCCTCTATCAGAATCCAGAGTTTTGAGAAGATAGGGGAAACTTAATTTTTCACCCGAAAAAAAAAAACGAAAGGGGTACCACTGTCGTTTTTTTTTCGGGTCGAATTTTTGAGTTTCGATATCTCAGCTCTGGAAGGGTCTAGAGCCTCCAATTTTTGCACTCAGGTTTAAGTCTCATGGCCCTCTATCATAATCCAGAGTTTTGAGAAGAATGGAGAAACTTAATTTTTCGCCCGAAAAAAAAACCAAAATGAATTTCATGGGACTTAGACCTGGCTGGCAGAACGATTGCCTTTGCCTGCATCTTTGTGGTGACATGACTAACATATTTAAGACCTATCCAATCTGAATTTAAGACAATTTAATACTTTTTAAGGCCTTATTTTTAGGAAAATTGATTTAAGACTTTTTAATACTTTTTAATGACCCGCTGAAATCGAATGCATTACTAGTGATTTGAACGGTTAACATGACCTTCACGGTTACAAATCGTGAAATTCATATATTCCTTTAACTCAATGGAGACATTTTTACATTTATATCACTGACAAGGCACATCATTTCTAAAAAAAAAAACACAATCCAGAGTGGTTCCAGAGTTGTAAATCAATGTAATGTACAAGATAATGTGGCATTAATGAGCAGTGGTAAATGCAGAATGTGAGGCGTTATGATCATGTGAGCGTTCGCTGTGAGTCTGTGGTTGTTCAGGCGTGGCTCGATGATCCGCACCCACTGCCTCTGCTACACACGTAAAACCTTGTGCCCTATTAATAAAACAAAACAGATGTGTTTAATATCATTATGTTTGTTAACATTTAGTAGGAGTGTAACAGTACACAGAAGTCACGGTTCGGTACGCCTCTCGGTTTTGGGGTCACGGTTCAATACGTTAGGAAAAAGCAACAAATCCCCAATGCTAAGTTTCTTATTGATTTTGAACAGACAGTCGTGTAAATTAATTTGTTCCACTCAGTGGCGTTTAACACAAATCGGCACAAAAAAACAATTGAATACTCTTAACACAAATTGAAATTGCGAATTGAAAGTATTTCCACTAGGGCTGCAACTAACGATTATTTTGATAGTCGATTAATCGGACGATTATTTTTCGATTAATCGGATAAAAAAAATTCAATTTGATTTTTTGTTTATTATAACTAAATAAAACCCTAAATCAGGGTTGTGGCGAACAAGACAAGGCCGAGGAACATGAGATTGGCGAGTCTGACGGGTGTCGTTAATTATCACTTATGCCACCAGGCTCGCGGCGCTCTCTCACGACCCCCGGCCTCGTCCTGCTCGCCACAAGAAAAAGTGCAAAAGCCACACACTGAGTTTTACCAATTTCAATATTTGCATTGTTTTTTACTGATAATTGCTGATGGCAAGTTGACAACAATGATTAATATAAACAAACAAAAAAGATATCCAACATTTTATGTTTTAGCACAATTTTTGTTAAGACAAATTTACAGACATGTTGTTCAGATGTGAAGATATAAACTAAAAACATCTCCAATTTTTATTTTAAAATTAATTGAATTATAAGGATAAATCAATAAAATAAATATAGAAAGACTGAAAACAAGCGTTTGAACGTAGAGCCGCAGTCGATCGCGTTTGAAAAACGATTAAAACTTGGTACGTTAGAGTCGATCATTCTTTAAAGAGGGCGTGTGTTTGTGTGCGTTTAGACAGAAGACGAGACTTGCCATTAATGCTTGAATAACACGTCTATTGTCTCCATTAATAATCATAATAATAAGCTAGTGCGGCGGCTGAGACGCATAAACCCGCTAACATTCGTCGCCATGATTTTTGGAATGACTTACCGCAATAGAAAAAAGATGATGTTTTAGTCATATAACAACACTTAATGGAAACACTCTCATTTCGCAGTAGTTTTTAGAAAATATCGCGCAAATCTGTAACGGAAACGCGGTCTGACTGTACGCACCGAACCGTGACGGTTTGAGACGAGCATTTGTACCGTCACACCCCTAATATCTAGAGAAATGGAAAAAAACATGGGTGTGCTCACTTCAACAGGTCGTCTAGCTCTCTCTTGATTTTGTTGACGACCGGCGGACCCTGGAACACGAGAGCCGTGTAGAGCTGCACGAGAGAAGCTCCCGCGAGGATCTTATCGAGCGCGTCCCGTCCGCTGGCCACTCCTCCCACGCCAACAATCGGCATCTTCCCTGCAGACTCACACACAAGCTTACTTCCTTATTAAAGGTGCTATATGTATTTTTTAGCGGCCTCTATCGGTGATGTTTCAGATTGCAAACAAATTTTTCGCAATGGCTTTAAAGCTAAAAATAAGGATTTAAGGGTACCTTGAGTCAGTGTGTACATCTCTCGCACTGTTTGAGTAGACAGCTTCTTCAGAGGCTGACCACTGAGTCCTCCTACTTCATGTTTTTTAGGGTCTTTAAGAGTATCTGGTCTGGAAATAGTGGTGTTGGAAACCATTAAACCATCAACGCCAACCTAAAATCACACACAAAACAACACCAACAACAACAAAATCCTGTAATAATGCACCTTGCTCATCTTGTAAATGAATCAGCCATAATAATTTCCACACGTTTCTTTGACCTGTGGAAGACTGACCTCCATGATGACCTCAGCGATGTCTCGCTTGTCCTGCGTGGAGAGATCAGGAGCGATTTTCACGACTACAGGAAGTCGCTTCTCCGTCCGCAAAGAATCACGTTCTTTAATCACCTGAAGAACCACCGACACCAAGATCAAATGATAAAAAAAATTGCCGACTTACACAAAGGATGAAATAAATTCATTCATTTGAATCTGACAATCCAGATTTTTTTCAATTTTTCACCAGAAAATAAAAGATTTCTCACTTTTATAAAAAACAAGATTCAACACAAATCTTACTATATGTAGTGCAGAGATATCATAATATACCGTAGGACTAATACGTATGTTAAACAGATTTATCAGCAATACTTTTCATAGAACTTATTAATTAATTTAATGCAAATGATTTAATGTTCTATGTACTTTGAGATAGCAGTTATATTTCCATCCAGACAGAGTGGAGAATTTAACTTCAAATTGCGTAAAATTGGAATATCGCATAAAACACTCGTGGAAAAAAGCTGTGTTTCCTTTCCATGTGTTCAAGGGAACAAAATCATCAAGTTGCTCAAATCTGCCTCTTTTTTACCTCCACCATTTTTTTTTTTTTTTTGTGATCTCGCCAAAATGTAAAGGTAGCTGGATGGAAACATAACTAGAGCCAGTTAATAGTGATGCATACCGATAAATCTTTATATTCAAAAGCCGATATTAACCGATATATTGGCCGATAAATCTATATCCTAATTTTTCTATAATTTCTGAGAGCCTGAATACAAAAACAAAAGTCTGACCATTAAATAATTGTGCAATAATAATAATAATTGTGTCCCAAGCACACAATTATAATATTCTCATTATAATTTTATGCAGCCTATATGACTGCACGTTGCAGTTTACCGTGTTGAAATATTTTTAAGTGATTCCGATCATGTTTTAAGCAATTTAGTCGTACGTAATAAATAATTTATGGGCTGTAATATATCGGGTTAATATAAATGTTATTATCGGGCCGATAACGATAACATTACAAATTAACATATATCGGCCGATACCGATATTGTGGCCGATATATCGGTTAGCTTTTGTCGTAAGTACACCATTATGGGCCAAATGCATTTAATTGATGGCCACAAACATGTACAGGTGAACCTCAAAAAATTTGAATATGGTGCAAAAGTTCATTTATTTCATTAATTCAACTTAAAAGGTGAAACTAATATATATTATATAGCCTAATTACATGCAAAGTGAGATATTTCAAGCCTTTGTTATAATTTTGATGATTATGGCTATAGCTTATGAAAACCCCAAATTCAAAAGGTTTTCATAAGCCATAATCATCAAAAAAACGCTTGAAACATCTCACTTTGCATGTATTGAGTCTATATAATATATTAGTTTCACATTTTAAGTTGAATTACTGAGATAAATGATCTTTTGCACTGAATTTTTACCAAATAAAATTGGTTTCAAACAGATTAATTTGCAAAATATTTATCATAGCAGACTAAAGCTGCCTTACATACACACTATAATGCTTCAACAGGACAGGGTTCTTCTAGACCGTGATTGGATGTTGTTGAGAGCAGCAACAGGACACATCTGGACACATTTAATGCAGTTTTCAGACCTGGAATGAAGTATTACCTCGTCCAGAAGGTGGCGCAGTTCTTCCTTGCCCTGTAGGGCTCTCAGGCCGGGAGTGTTGGGACTGCTCACATTCACTACCAGATAGTCAGCGAGAGGACCCAGTGTCCGCACACCCTCCACATAATCTGACACCGCATCCGCGGAAAGCTTGTTCTTCCCCAGATTCACACCAAGAGGTTTTCCTGCTGAGATTGTATACATGGTCACAGAGAAGCATGACCATCCTGGCAAAGCTGCTCAGATGTATTCAAATAAGTAGGAAAAAGCAGTGAACGTCTTTATTTCCAAGGCTTTATATTACGTAAAGGTATTTTGACCGAGTTAAGATTGAAAATGGAAACTCATACCCACATTTGAACAATAAATAAGAGTGATATTTAGTTTTGTGTCTGTAATTTACCTTTTGTTAGTTCGGACTGCACATGCTTTCTGGCTTTCAACCTTTCTTGCACCACAGAAAGGCCACAACTATTGAATCCATATCTGAAATATATGCAAAACACAATACAGTATTTATATTTTATATAAATATAGTATTTTTATATATTTTTTGACATTTACTTCATTTTGGAGAAACTATCAGGATGGTAATATTGACAATATTTGAGTTTGAAAATCTAGTACTACTACATTATTACCAATTATTGTGAACCAGGTTTAAGTTTATAGGCTAAAATAACACAATTGAAGCCGTAATTCATATACACTCGTGGAATGCAAGCAGTTTAATATGCATGTTAGGGGTTTGTTTAAATCCTACGCATTTTAAAAGAGAAAGTCCAGACTTAAACTTTCCAATGGCGAACAGCATTTGGCATTCAAAACCGGCATCATGGACAAACAGCACTCGCTTACTCCATCTGGAGCGACTCCACCCTGGTTTGAATGCCTGTACACGACACTGGCTGACAATATTGCTGATAATAATGACATTTTTATTGTTTGATGATGACATCAGCTAATTAAACAGACCAAAGAGATTCTTTCCTTTACTCGCCTGAAAATAGAAAACCTCGTCAAGTCAGAAATTAGGATTTAGTTAAAACGAAAATAAATATATACTTATTAAAATCATTTCAATACGTTTTTTCTATCCTCACTGTTGGGGGGAAATCTCGTGTTTCCAATAACACTACTTTTCAGGAAAATAATACCTAATAATGAATAATTAAACACTGCACTGTCAAAGTTGATATTGTGGCTTTATATATATATATTGGGGCTGTCAAACGATTAATTAATCGCATTCAAAATAAAAGTTTGTGTTTACATAATATACGTGAGTGCACTGTGTATAATTATTTTGTATATAGTACACACATGCATGACAAAAAACATTTAAGACAAAAAAATGTATTTATATATAAAATATTTATATTTATATATAATATAAATTATGTATAAATCTATATACAGCATATACATTAAAATATTTCTTAAATATACAAGCATGTGTGTGTATATTAATATATAAAATACAGTAGTGAGTGTATATGTATATATATATTAGCCAATATTATAGATAATATTAATGTTAAGATATTATATATACACATTTGTAGTGTTTCTTGAGTAAAGAAATACTGTACTTTTTCAAACCAGTTCTTTACTTATTGCATTGCAAACAACCAGAGACACTCCAAATTGCATGATAGAGGTGGGCGGAGTTATGAGGTCTGATTGACAGTTTAAGGAGCCAATGACGTTACGAGGTTTAGTCACAAGCTCTTTTTTAATACTTTTCAGTGGTTAGATATTTATAAAACCCACAGACAGACATAAAGGATGACTAATAGTAATGATTTATGGATAAAAAAAAGACAAAATATGGAGATTCGTGGCAAGACAGTGACGATATTAAATAAGTTAAAACATTAAGTTCCTTTTAAGAAAGAAAAAAGTGTTGTGTGCTATAATTAATTCTGTAAATAAAGCACTATACTCATCACACATCAGATGTGCAGCACAAGACGAAGAAGACTTTGAGTTATGATTTATGAAGGGTAAAAAATGGCATTGATTATGGATACCCCGGTAGGTTTGTTTTGGCAGAGAAAGCCTCACCACACCTGTTAATGACCGCCTGGTCTGACTCCAGTCTGAACACACGGGGCTTGGGGTTTCCGTCCTGAGGCTTTGGGGTGACGGTCCCCACCTCCACGAACCCAAAGCCCAGTCTATAGAGGCCATCCACGGCCTCGCCGTGCTTGTCAAAGCCGGCAGCTATCCCAACTGGGTTCTGGAACTTTCGACCCATCACATGCACTTCCTGGTGGAAATAAAAGAGAAAATTTAATTAAAAATTAAATTACTTTGTCTTTCCCTCAAATATTAATAAAACTGTACTGACACATTAAGCCGATATAGTGAAAACTAATCTTATCGGGATGCACCGATACCAACATTTTGTCCAATAACGATAATTCTTTATGAGTCCAATAACTCTATTTGAAAGCCGATAACCGATATATTGGCTGATAAATCTAAATACTAGGGCTATCAAACGATTAATCCTGATTAATCGCATCCAAAATAAAAGCTTGTGTTTACATAATATATGTGTGTGTATAATTATTTTATATATATAAATACACAATATGCATGTATATATTTAAGAAATATTTTCATGTAAATACTATATATTTATATTATATAGAAATATAAATATTTTATATATAAATAATATTTTTTTCTTATATATACATGCATGTGTGTGTATTTATATATGTACAAAATAATTATACACACACAGTGCACCCACATATATTATGTAAACAAAACTTTTATTTTGGATGCGATTAATCGCGATTTCCAATGTCCCAAACAACTCAACTAAATTTTTATTAATAAAGTACTTTCAAAACCATAAAAATGGACCAAAATGCGGTTCATAGGTAGTAAATATCTCTAAAATACATAAAATAACAATAAAACACGACACCAAGAAAATCAAACAACAAATCCTGTTCGAACTCGTTCATCAAAACGAATGAATCTTTTCCAGAGTCAACTCGTTCATTTCATTCGTTGAATGAACCAAATGACACGAAAAAAAGATTCGTTTATTTTGATGAACAGGAGAGTCACGAACGCGCATCACAGAACAGATCAAGGCGAGCATTTGAGCTTATAAAACTTACACTTTGTTATTTATTTATTAAATGAGTGATCGTTTCGCTTGATAAGACCCTTATTCATCGTCTGGAATCGTTTAAAGCCCTTTGAACAGTTTGCACTGAAACTGTCTTTTGGACCTTGAACCGTTTGGTTCCCATTGAAGTCCATTATATGGAGAAAATCCTGGAATGTTTTCATCAAAAACCTTAATTTCTTTTCGACTGAAGAAAGAAAGATGTGGACATCTTGGATGACATGGGGGTGAGTAAATAATCAGCGAAAGTTTTTTTAAACACATTATCACATTAATGTATATCGACCGATACCGAAGCCACTAAATTGTCCATCCCTACAATGCAAAGTATCTCAAATTATTAATCTGGAGTGCGTGTCCCGAAGGTTTGCATGACATGTGGACTCAATAATCCTTTAAAAAGCTGACATTCAGTACAATCTGGATCTTTTATTTAGGATGCATACAAATGTCATTTACGTCTTTTAGTTTGTCGAGAGATTGAAAGCGGTTTTTATTGAAGTGTGCGCATGTGTGAACGAGCCGATGAGTGAATCTGGAAATAAAGCAAAATAACATTCCTCAATAATATTATAATAATAATATTCCTCAAATGCATGTCCGTAATTTACAGCATTAATTCCATCTCAAACAGATTCATTAAAATTTAAATAAGTTATTACTCCACCACACGCGTAACATCATTGACCCATTTGCGACAATATGGTTTCGGGAAACAGTCGTGACTAGCTAGTGGATTTCTTCAACGATGCGTCGTACTGTGATAGCGAAGAGTTATAGCGTTGTACGGGACACACACACACCCCAGCACAGCAGTCTATCTATCACTGGTGTTTCACACACTGACCAGTGAGGCTGGATCCTTGTAGTTGTTGAGAGGCACAAGTCCAAGTCCAATCAAGCGGACAGCCATAACATGAGCCGTCTCTGCTCCCACAATCCTCTGCAACGCTGGCATGAGAGCGTTGGCGTAGAAGCGCTCGTCTCCCGAGGCCGTAAGGAACCCCAGGAACACGCCACTGCCACATCCGATGATCCTCAAGGCATCTTTCGCTTGTTTCTGCAAAAAGCACGAGAGGATACTTGAGGATACTTCTTTCTGAAACCCATTATCTGCTGAAATCACAATAGGACATTTTATTTGAAAAGACTTTTTAAAAGAAAGGATCCCAAGCATAGATGATGATTTAATCCCTTTTTTTTCTGGTGAAGATGAAAGACAAAATATTAGAGAGGGTCAAAACGACAAATTTATTTTTAACATGAGATTTGAAGCCAAATTACAGTGAGGTGAAAATTGTTTTATTTTTACAAATATATCTATTACTGAAATCTGTTGAAAAAAAAAAAATATTTATGCCAATTTTCTATGCAATGATGTTGATTGAAAAAAAAAACAGTTATTATCAGATGTTAAGATTGCAAATGAAATTTTGTGAAGAACAAGAATTTAAAAGGACATTAAGATATCTTTAATAATTCTTGGGTAATTCACTTAATAATTCACAAAGTGCTTTTTCCCATTTTTTAACAGTCACCGTTGGCATATAATTGAACAAAGATTGTTAAAGTAAACAAATGTGACTAATAGAAATTATATATAGAATAAAAACGATACTGCCATCTTTTACACCACTGTAATATGGCTCAAACTCTGAGGTGAAAATTATTACTTTGACCCCACTGCACAAAAGTGGACTGGTCAGTAAAACTACATCTATAATATTTAATATTTTGGCTTTCATTACCATTTATGTTTGTCTTTCTTCAAAAATAAAAATAAAAAAATGAGCTGTGGAAGTTTCTGAAGTTTGGTTGATTTGACACAGAATGTCCCTATAAACGTAAAGTATCCACTAAAAAACAAAACAAATATTATTTTAACACCATAAAGCCTAGTGGTGGCATAATACCAGTGTATTTAATGTTTACCATATCAACAATATTGTATTATATTTCCATGGCAAGTTACGTCCAAAATACCCTTGGCATCATCAGAACAGCTTGTGAAAAATAACAAAACACAATGTTTGCTATAATTAAACCTTTCATTTTAATTAATCAACTGTTCCTGGGATGATTTAAGGGTGTTTACTGAAATTTCATAAGCACGCAAGTGGGAAAATCAGCTGATTGATAAACGTTTGCGACACAAAACACTGAAAAAGAGCCAGATAAGACAGCTGTAGATGCATGCTCTGTCTGCTCGAGTTAATAACACCTATAAAAACACTAAAACAAACTCTATCTATTAGCATTTCATTCACCTTCAGTCGTCCCGCCATGAGTGTTGCATGACAGTCAATCCAAACAACGTGCAGAGCTTCGAGAGTCACTTCCGGGACGAAATCTCGCGAGAATAAAGAAGCGCCGCCGCCGAGAACGAAAATCACAAATGTGTGATAATGTGATCATTTCTTTGAATCTATGTATATTCTACACTTTTTCGGTTTAATGTCTCTAATTTAATTTCCATGCAGTTTGGAACATTAATAGCTGCCTAAATTGATCTGTATTATGTCATATTATTTTTTGTACAGGCATTTAAAACGGATTTTTATACGGATAAACTTCATGTAAATCCCCTCAGTTTGTCCTGTCAGGAGCGCATTGCTTCCAAAAGTAGCATAAGGCTATTTTTTTTCTCATACAACTATTTATTTTACTTTACCTGAAGAAATAAGCTCTAAGCTGTGGACATTTTATAAAATAAATTAAACTATATCCTCATATGTGTTTGTTTTCATATTTGCTGTGAGTTGTGTACAAATGTGTACATTATCTGTAATAATAAATAAAAAACAAATGTGTGATATTAACAGTTAATTGAGAGGAATTATTCATATTACACACAACACTGTCAATTGTGATTATTATAAACATTAATGTTTATAAAGTTAATTGCATTTGGTTAGTTGCGTAGGCTAATATACGCCTACTTTTAAATATTAGAATATTTTATATTTACTATTCCACTGTAAAAAAAATTCTCATGATTTGTTATCAAAACATTTACTCTTTTAACTTTTAATTTATGTGGTTAAGATAACATAATATTTTGCATTTTTCGGGCTGATTAAATCAATCTCCATTGTAAAATTAAAAAAATAATAATCATTTCAATTAACTCAAAATTTCAAATAATTTTAAATAACTCAAAAAGGAAACCAGGTTACTTTTTTTTAATTTAAACCAACAATATATATATATATATATATATATATATGCAATATAACATGTAAGAATGTCATGTTTTTCATGTTTTTATAATTCTACACTGTGAAATATATATTTCACAATGTAGAATTAGAAAAACATGAAAAACATAACATTCTTACATGTTTCCATATACATATGTATAACAATGACTCAATTTCATCATCACTTGAGTGGCTAAAAAAAGTCTTTATTTCACAAATCTGCAATCATTGATAACAATGTGGAAGCTTTCGGAGAGTCTTGGTTTGTAGTCAGACTTTGCATGTATTTGAGTGCCTGACCCCATTTCCCTAATGAAGTTAGTTCACATTCACTGTTTTCACAAAGTGAGATTCGAGATTTGCCTAAGATGTACGAGGACTCCCTGTTTTCTAGTCCTCACAAACTCTCTGGACTGAAGGTTGCTTTTTAGCAGCTATGGCCGTCTCAAAGCAAGTCCTGGTTTATTACTGGATTTCACTCGGTTTGATTCCGCTTACAACTTGTACGGAGGAAAACGGACAGGATTATGGAAGGAGATTTCTGGAAAGTCACGAGGGAATAGTGTACGAGTTTGTTCAAGAACCCATGCCGTGGGTTGAAGCCCGAGAGAGATGTGAAACGCAAGGTGGACATCTTCTGAGGGACTTGAATGATGAGATTAAGGAGCTCTTACGACGGCAGCTCTCAGAAACTGGACCGTTGTGGGTCAGTCGGGACGTGATGTACACAAACTCCATCAGGGGTGAGTGAAGCTCACAGTTTTCCATCTTTACACTTAAATGTGACTAGAAAAGGGCCTAAAACTGAGGTGAAAGTTAAACATAACAGTCTCATGAGAACTTTTGATTGGGGTTTTGTATTCCAATCACTTTGTATGGATGTCTTTAATTGATTGGGCAGGACAATTTTTTATCGGATGTCTGTGTAGTATGCCGTTCATAACACACAAATTATGGGCTTTTACAGTCTGATGGTTTATGAGATCCCAGAAACCAATGTGGTGATTTGGAGAAGCTGTTATGTGTATGTTTATTTGGTCAGTGGACATTAATAAACATGGCTGTAAATGTGCCATAATTGGCCAAAAATGCTATTTTTCATCTCTAGACCATTGATAAAATGTTAAAATGTCTGTAAAAACAAAGCATCTTATGTAAGACGGAGGAAATCATGCTAAAATACAGTATAATTTTATCTAGACAACATATATTGTGCTATGCAAGTTGTAAGAGAGATAGTGGTAGGAGAAAGAACAATTAGCCTACAAGGAGGCTAAAATCAGAAATATTAAGATGCTAACGTTGACAGTGCTGAGTAGTAAGTGATTCATTTTAAACATGAAACTGAATGTCCCCCTTTAGTCAATAATTTTATTCACCGTTGATTATTAAAATGACAGATTTAAACATTTATTTCCTTAAAACAAAATAATTCATGCCTTGAATAAATTTGCATATTTGATGAATATGCAAATGAGCCCCGCCTCCACTCAATCACAGCAGTCCAGAGATCCACTCTTTGACGATCATATGTTGATCTGATTGGTTCCAAGGTCGTTTGTGACATCAGAAACACCAGCGATTTCAAACCATGTTTTTGAGCCTTTTTTTGGTTCAATGCAGTTCAATGGTGTCGACTTATGAATTTGCAAATTATTTGTCTAAAATCGTGTTAAAAACACTACAAAGACATATAAATAAACAACATTAAAAGCTTGATTTTTCACCACCATATGTATCTAGTTTTAAATATTTATGTGATCTCAAGAACCTTTTTAATCTCACATGAACCATATACAGTGAGGGGAAAACCCCATTGAAGAACTTTTATTTTTAACAGTATATGGCAATGAAATAAACTAGTGTTTATTCTTTTGTTGTTTACAGGATTTGAGCCAACAACGCCAGTCTCATATTCCCCTCTTAAAGATGATGGCAGTGATGTAAATAAAGCTGTATTTGCTTGCTCTTATATGGTCATTGATCCATTTCAGCTGGTGAACACACCCAACTGTTCTGGGAGCTTCGGTTCTCTCTGCCTGAGAGGTACAGCAACACATAACATAACATAATATAACATAACATAACATAACAACATAGCAAAACATGTAACATAACAACATAGCAAAACATATAACATAACAACATAGCAAAACATATAACATAACAACATAGCAAAACATACCATATGACATAACATAACATTACATAACAACATAACATAACAACATAGCAAAACATATAACATAACAAATGACATAACATACCATATGACATAACATTACATAACATATAACATAACAAATGACATACCATATGACATGACATTACATAACATAACATATGACATAACATAACAAATAACATACCATATGACATAACATATGACATACCATATGACATAACATAACATATGACATAAGATAACATATGACATAACATAACATATGACATACCATATGACATAACATAACATATGACATACCATATGACATAACATAACATATGACATACCATGACATAACATAACATATGACATAACATAACATATGACATAACATAACATATGACATACCACATGACATAACATACCATATGACATAACATGACATAACATATGACATAATATATGACATACCACATGACATAACATAACATACCATATGACATAAGATGACAAAACATATCATATAACATAACATAACATCACATAACATAATAACATAACAACATAGCAAAACATATAACATAACATAGCATACCATATGACATAATATTACACGGCATAACATAACATACCATATAACATACATAACATATGACATAACATACCATATAACATAACACACCATATGATATTACAAAATATGACATAACATACCCCATGACATAACATAACACACCATGTGACATAACGTAACATGACATAACATTTGACACAACATAACATATAACACACCATATGACATAACATGACATATGACAAAACATAAAATAACATATGAGATAAGATAACATATGACATACCATATGACATAAAATATCATGACATACCATATGACATTTCTTACCATATGACAAAACATAAAATAACATACCATAACATAGCATACCATATGATATACAATCACTTATAACCTACCATATGACATAACATAACATACCATATGACATAACATAACATATAGGACACACCATAACACACATGGGACACACCATATGACATGACATAACATAATAACATATGACATAACATAACACAATTTTGTCCAGAATCACAGGACTGAGATCGCTTACTACACATGTAATTTTTTTACACATGTAACGTTGCGCTTCTGCTGTTACAGATGAAGGATCAGATTTCACACACCTGAAGAGAAGCCGCAGAAGTCTTACTGACATACTAACGTCAATGGCAGGCCTTTTATCTACTACTCAGCTGTTGGAGGTTGGTGAGGTTATTCAATTGTAAGATTGTAGAGACTGGACCATAACCAAACAATTATTGTGCGCGTGAGTTGGATGTAAAATGAAGGCCCGTTCTCCCCACATCTTTTCAAGAATTAAATTAAATTACAATCTCAACATTAGTTCCTGAACTAATGAACCCTTACTGTCAATCTCGCAGAACGCCAAACAAATGTTGAGTGATTTGGAGACGACAACGGAACCACTGCCAAAGGAAAAGAGGGTGATGTATACATTACATATTAATATTATTGCATATGGCATTTTAAAATCAAGCTAAAAAATATATTTGTTCTGTTGGCCTGTAAGATTTTAGTAGCATATTTTATATGCATGGCAAATAAATATTTTTTCAAATGCATTTTGGAGTAATTAATGAGTAAAGCTACACAGTGACGTCTTCAGCTTGAGATTAATCCTACTAGTTATATCTCTTAGTGAATGTTTTATGAGCAGTAAGATAATATTCATCCACAGTCACACAGAGCCGAAGCACAACTAAAATACTGTTCTTCCGCAAAATGCAGTTTTGCTTTTTAACCACTAGAGGGCCAAACGTTAGTGTACATTTAATTTCAAAAGTCTGCAAAAATTATATTGTTTCATAAATATCTGAACACGCATATATCAGAAGAGATTACTGACCCTCGACTTTTTGCAGTTTTTTGAGTATCTGACTTTTCCTCGCAATTACGTGTTTATAACTCACATTTCGGACTTTTTTCCTCACAAATACAAGTTTATATCTCATATTTCTTGTCTTTTCATCGCAATTACGAGTTTATAACTCGCATTTGAGACTTTTTTCGCCATAATTACAAGTTTTTATCTCACATTACGGACTTTTCATCGCAATTACGTGTTTATAACTCACATTTCGGACTTTTTTCCTCGCAAATACAAGTTTATATCTCACATTTCTTGTCTTTTGATCGCAATTGCGAGTTTATAACTCGCATTTCGGACTTTTTTTTCCGCAATTACGAGTTTATATCTCACATTTCTTGTCTTTTCATCGCAATTTCGAGTTTATAACTCAAATTTCAGACTTTTTTCCCACAATTATAAGTTTATATCTGACATTTCGGACTTTTCATCGCAATTACGAGTTTATAACTCACATTTCGGACTTTTTTCCCCACAATTACAAGTTTATATCTCACATTTCAGACTTTTCATCGCAATTACGAGTTTATAACTCACATTTCGGACTTTTTCCCCCACAATTACAAGTTTATATCTCACATTTCAGACTTTTCATCGCAATTACGAGTTTATAACTCACATTTCAGACTTTTTTCCCGCAATTACAAGTTTATATCTCACATTTCGGACTTTTCATCGCAATTACGAGTTTATAACTCACATTTCGGACTTTTTTCCCCACAATTACAAGTTTATATCTCACATTTCAGACTTTTCATCTCAATTACGAGTTTATAACTCGCATTTCGGACTTTTTTCCCCACAATTACAAGTTTATATCTCACATTTCTTGTATTTTCACTGCAATTACGAGTTTATAACTCGCATTTTGGACTTTTTTCGCCATGATTACAAGTTTATATCTCACATTTTGTGCTTTAATACATGTGATGTACATAATCAAATAAAGGTGAAATGACATTCCAGCATTGGCCCAGTTCATATTCCCTTTGTTTTCAGCGTAGCGCATTGATGCATCAATGTAAATTAATTTCTTTTACTTCTTAATCGGATAGCTCCAATTCCTGCAAAACATATATGATCACCTTCTACAATCCGATGTTACGGATAAAGACAAGCTTGCTGAGATTGCCAACAGCACTGCAGCCATGCTTTTGTTCTCGCAAGAGTGTGGAACTGACAACATGGATGGTGTAAGTCGAGTTATCAATGCACCAAATGAATCGGAGGCTGATTGAGAAAGATGAATGCTTTACATTGGTACAGCTGTTGATCTGTGGGAATTTATATTGTTCATCCAACAGCTTGAGGATATCATTTCTCTTGCGGGACACATTTACGTGAAGACTCTCGCCACCAACGGGAACCTTGTCATGGAACTTCCAACAGGCACCATTTATGTCACCAGGTCATTATTAGTTGATTGATCACTCATTACTGGGTTATGTTATCATTTGCAATGTCTCATCAGCTGTGTCTCCATCCATAGTCAAGACTCAAGCACCCTGGGAGGACAGATGCTCGGCTCAAGGGATGGAGGATATTGCCAACTTCCATCTCTTTCTTCAATGACTAAACAGCTGCCCTCTGGGAAAGTCAACCTCCAGGTGTGTGTTTTTGCAGTGTAAATTAGTCAACCTTAATACTAGAGGTGTAACAATACATCGTGTCACAATATATCACAATAAAAAAAGTTGCCAGCGTTTTTTTGATCATTTTCACCAAAATGTAACGGCCCCATGATTATATTGTTTCATAAATATCTGAACACGCATATATCAGAAGAGATTACTGACCCTCTACTTTTTGCAGTTTTTTGAGTATCTGACTTTTCCTCGCAATTACGTGTTTACAACTCGCATTTTGGACTTTTTTTCCTCGCAAATACAAGTTTATATCTCACATTTCTTGTCTTTTCATCGCAATTACGAGTTTATAACTCGCATTTCGGACTTTTTCTGCCATAATTACAAGTTTATATCTCACATTTCAGACTTTATCACAATTACGAGTTTAGAACTCGCATTTTGGACTTTTTTCCCGCAATTACGAGTTTATATCTCACATTTCTTGTCTTTTCATCGCAATTAAGAGTTTATAACTCGCATTTCGGACTTTTTTCACCATAATTACAAGTTTATATCTCACATTTCGGACTTTTCATCACAATTACGAGTTTATAACTCACATTTCAGACTTTTCCTCGCAATTACAAGTTTATATCTCAAATTTATGACTTTTCATCGCAATTACGAATTTATAACTCGCATTGCTGACTTTTTTCCCCACAATTAGGAGTTTATATCTTACATTTCTGACTTTTCATCGCAATTACGAGTTTTTATCTCGCATTTCTGATTTTTCATCACAATTACGAGTTTACATCTTACAATTCTGACTTTTTTCCCCACAATTGCAAGTTTATATCTCACATTTTTTTTACTTTTCGTCGCAATTACAAGTTTATAACTCGCATTTCAGACTTTTTCCCCCACAATTACAAGTTTATATCTCACATTACGGACTTTTAATCGAAATTACTATAGTTTATAACTTGCATTTCTGACTTTTTTCCCGCAATTACGAGTTTATATCTCACATTTGTGACTTTTCCCCGCAATTACGAGTTTATAACTCGCATTTCTAATTTTTTCACCGCAATTACAAGTTTATATCTCACATTTCTAAATTTTCCTCTGAAATTATGAGTTTATAACTCGCATTTCTAACTTTTCATCGCAATTATGAGTTTATAACTCGCATTTCTAACTTTTCATCGCAATTCTGAGTTTATAATTCGCATTTTTTACTTTTCCTCCTCAATTGTTACACCCCTACTAGATACTAAAGAAATCCAATTTACTTTATTAATATAGTATATGTTTATAGTTTAGTTGTGCGTGATTCATCAGTGCACATTATTCCAAAAGAGCAAAAGGGTCTTCTAAAATCACAGCAGTCTTATTGTTATAGAGACCATTTATAATCGTTTTCTACAATCATGGTTTGATGTTTAAATACTTTACTATTATTATTACAGCTTTTCCACTTTAAAGAGAATCCAACAGATCTGAAGTCCAACGAAACCATCACTGGAACAACTTGCAGCTTTTCTTTGCAACAGGGAAACACTTCAGTCAAATTCACAAATCTCCCAGAGAACATCGAGGTGAAAACTGAATTAATTTTAGCACATATTAGAGAACCATAGTGAGTCGTGAGCTCACATTATCAATTTGATGTTTGAAAATATTGAACACAGAAGCTTTGACTTGCTCATTAAAGTTTGTAGGGCAATATTTTCTGTCAAGCTGTATTGTGAAAAGTGCTCCAATTTTTTTATTACATTAAATAATTTAATTTAGTTTAAGTTGCCAGTGTTTTTGATCATTTTCACAAAAATGTAACAGCCCCCAGTCAGATTATATAGTTTTATGAATATCTGAACATGCATATATCAGAAGAGATTACAGACCCTCTACTTTTCGCTTCATGCATTGTTTTTTATCAACACTTCGGTATGGGAAAAGTGTGCAAAAAGCTAATAAAAGACTACGATTATACTCAGAACGATGATTAAAAAGTCGATCGTGTCCATCGACACCTCAAACCTGTTGCTCGTCCCGAGTCGCATTTCATTTTTTATTTTTGTGCGGTTTAATTTGAATGATTGCATTATTTTATATATGCTAATGATTAGAGATCGCTTGTTTCTGCTTCCTCTTCGCCTGTGTTTTGATCAGGAGACTCAGTCCTATTTCAGAAGATGTGTAATAGCGCCCCCTATCATATAACAGTGAAAACACAGGGGGAAATCCGTTCCAAGTTCATAGGGAGTCATACTGATACGTCTCTCTGTACAGATATATCTGCCTCGGCCTGGAGCGCCTCAGCCCGAGGTTGTGGATATAACCTGGAAACAAGGGTACGCCGTCACCTCAACGTTCAACATCTCAGACGCAAACGTGACCGTAATTGCTACAGCAATACCAAACCAAAACATAAGTCTCAGATTTACACTGTTCCCGCCCGATGCGGCAAACACCACCATTTCCAATCAAAGCACGATTGTGACCTACAAAGGTAAATGCATGTATAAAACGAACAGTATTGCATGTACAGTTTAAAGAACAGATAAAGACTAAATAATTTGTGCAATAGATGGTTATCGCTGGCTGATCACCCCGGAAATGATACAGCGAGTCGATGGGACTTGGAAGGTGTCAGTATTGCCACATAATTACACATCAAGTGGAACGCTGACCTTTAAAGTCTCCGTTTTTGTAACTAAGTGCCTGTTCTGGGACCAGGAGCTTGGAGACTGGAGTCGAGAGGGCTGCATGGTAACATAATCGCTGATCCGTCAGTAATATACACTGTCTTTTCATAACATTTTTGATCTGATGTCTTTTTTTTCCTCGAAGGTCGGTCCCAACACAATGCCGAATCTAACTCACTGCTTGTGCAACCACACCACGTTCTTTGGGAGCTCCTTCTTTGTGATGCCCAACCAAGTGGACCTGTCCCAGACGGCAGCTTTGTTTTCCACAGTAAATGAGAACTATATCGTGGTGTCGTTGCTCAGCTGCTTCTTCGCACTTTACCTCGTGGGTGTAATGTGGGCCTGGTACGCCGACCGCAAAGCTCTGAGAACGGTACAGTATACTCACGTTTACTTGTCTTCTTCACACACTCGTGTGGCTTGTTGAGAATATAAGCTCACGGTTTTCACGATAAAACATCGGACAAAGTCCCATAAACTTATTTTCAAGGACAGATCATATTTAGACATCAGAATTGTGAGGTACAGACTCCCAATTCCAACTTCTTTTTTTTTTTTGCAGTTGCGAGTTTCTCACAATTCCGATTTTTCCCCGCAATTCTGAGTTTACAACTCGCATTTCTGACTTTTTTCCCCACAATTACGAGTTTATAACTCACAACTCTGACTTTTCCTTGCAATTATGAGTTTATAACTCACAATTCTGACTTTTCCTCGCAATTACGAGTTTATTTCTCACAATTATGACTTTTCCCCGCAATTACGAGTTTATAACTCACAATTCTGACTTTTCCTCTCAATTACGAGTTTATTTCTCACAATTATGACTTTTCCTCGCAATTACCAGTTTTTATCTCACAATTTTGACTTTTCCTCGAAATTACGAGTTTACAACTCACAATTATGACCTTTTACCCCGCAATTATGAGTTTATATCTAACAATTATGACTTTTCCCTGCAATTAGTTTATATCTCACCATTATGACTTTTTTCCCTGGCAAGTTTATAACTCTCAATCCTAAAAAAAATTCCTTGCAATCCAAGTTTATAACTCGCATTTCTAACTTTTTCTCGCAATTTCAAGTTTTTAACTCGCATTTATTTATTTATTTATTTATTTTGCAATTGCAAGTTTAAATCCCATAATTCTGAAAAAGTTTGTTTTCTTGCAACTACATATTTAATTGTTTATAGTTGTACACACAACGTACTACGTACTTTATTGTTACTTTTCTTATATTGGATTTACTGAGAATGTCTCATAGAAACAGAAAAGACCATGAATAGAAATCAGAAAATTGATTTATTGCTATTTTCCATCTTATTAGGACACAATTTATACAATTATTTTATGGCATATACATGCAATTCATTGCAAATCAATGATGATTGAGAGATGGAAAATGTTCCCCAAATATCTGACTTATCATATTTGATATTTACATTAACATTAAACATTACAAAACAATGCATGAATAATCAAGTAAATCCAAGTTGCTTCAGTCCAGTAAATATTTATCCTACATTTACTTTATAAAAATCATTAAAGATTTCTGAGCGAAAAAAATGATAAAATATACTTGATGCTTAATAAAAAATAAAAAAGTGTCTTAGAAGTGTCTAGAAAAGCGTTATAAAAAATTAAAGTATTATTATTATTATTATTAAACTCAATCAGAGGTCAGAAGGCATGAAGTAGATTGTGTACAACAGGTTTTTCAGAAAAGTTTTGGTAATATTCATAATTTGTAAGCCCTGGAAATTTTCATATTAATAGGCTAATATATTCATAAATACTCATTGTTCAACAGAATTTTGCAAAGAATTTTTAAGTTATGAGAGAATAAATGTTTTAAAATTAAAATTCGATTTTTTACTTTTCTCAATGAATTTGTACCCCACAAACGGGAGACGTATCCTGGGAGTCACAAACATTTACAAACAACGGACACATTCTGAAAAATGTCAAAATTAAATTAATAAAATTTCAACATAAACGAAATAAGCCTACACTTAAAAACCACATTATAAACGTGTATTATAAATATGTGAAATATTTTTATCTGAATGCGAGTAGATCTTCCACTATACAGGTCTTCATGTTGTTTTTAAATGGGCTCATTATTTAAACAATGAATGTATGATCTAAATATTCACAACATCGACATGAAACCTACATTTTTCCTGCTTTCCCCACAAAATCCGTCGGCTATTTTAGGGTTAATGCTACAGAAATGACCCGATCCCACTGTATCCATTGATACACCACGCAGGATGCTAGTGAAACGTGGTTAAATGTGTGTGTCCACAGCGTAAGATGACTCTCTTGGAGGACAATCATCCGTGCGCCCAATACAACTACCTTTTATATGTGCAGACCGGCCACAGAAGAGGGGCTGGCACCACTGCTAAGGTGATATTAGTCTTTAGTCTTTCTTTATTTCATGAATGTACGAGCTTTTCAGTGGTCCTCATTACTAAAGTCTTTGATTTGCCAGGTGATGATGACCCTCCAGTTCAGCGAAGGAGAGAGCGAGTCTTACCGCATGTCTGACCCCGAGAAGCCGATGTTTGAGAGAGGAGCCGTGGATGTGTTTCTGCTCAGTATCCCCTTCTCTCTCGGAGAACTGCAGAGCATTGAGATATCGCATGACAACTCGGGCCGAAGCCCTGATTGGTAGGTGTCTGTGTGTCCTGGCTTTTTGCATGGGTTTTCCTATGTTTGCATAGCAAGGCAGACACAGAGTACACTTTAAATCAAATTGGAAAGGAATGCTAAGCCACACAAAATACTCAGCTAATTTTCATCTTAAAGGTCCCACTTTATATCAGGTTTTATAACTACTTTGTGGACACATCAAGTCAAATATTTAATGTTCGGTGCAATTTATTATGGAAGCTTTTTTCCGCCACAGAATTAAAAATAAAAAAGGTAATTGCGACTTTATATCTCGCAATTCTGACTTTATATCTCACAATTCTGACTTTATATCTCGCAATTCTGACTTTATATTTCGCAATTCTGACTTTATAACACGCAATTCTGACTTTATATCTCGCAATTTTGACTTTATAACACACAATTTTGACTTTATAACACGCAATTCTGACTTTATATCTAGCAATTCTGACTTTATAACACACAATTGAAACTATATCATGCAATTCTGACTTTATATTTCGCAATTCTGACTTTATAACATGCAATTGCAACTATATCATGCAATTCTGACTTTATATTTCGCAATTCTGACTTTATATCTCGCAATTCTGACTTTATAACATGCAATTGCAACTATATCTCGCAATTCTGACTTTATATCTCGCAATTCTGACTTTATATTTCGCAATTCTGACTTTATATTTCGCAATTCTGACTTTATAACACGCAATTCTGACTTTATATCTCGCAATTCTGACTTTATAACACACAATTTTGACTTTATAACACGCAATTCTGACTTTATATCTCACAATTCTGACTTTATAACACACAATTCTGACTTTATAACACGCAATTCTGACTTTATAACACACAATTGAAACTAGATCATGCAATTCTGACTTTATATTTCGCAATTCTGACTTTATATTTCGCAATTCTGACTTTATATCACGCAATTCTGACTTTATAACACACAATTGAAACTAGATCATGCAATTCCGACTTTATATTTCGCAATTCTGACTTTATATCTCGCAATTCTGACTTTATAACACGCAATTCTGACTTTATAACACACAATTGAAACTATATCATGCAATTCTGACTTTATATTTCGCAATTCTGACTTTATAACACGCAATTCTGACTTTATAACATGCAATTGCAACTATATCATGCAATTCTGACTTTATATTTCGCAATTCTGACTTTATAACACGCAATTCTGACTTTATAACACACAATTCTGACTTTATATCACGCAATTGCAACTATATCATGCAATTCTGACCTTATATCTCACAATTCTGACTTTATATCTTGCAATTCTGACTATATCTCTCAATTCTGACATTAAAACACACAATTGCAACTATATCATGCAATTCTGACTTTATATCTCAAAATTTTGACTTTATATCTCGCAATTATGACTTTATATCTCGCAATTCTCTATTCAATATCTCAATATCTCGTCAAAATTGCGAGATGTAAACTCTCAATTTTCGATAAAAAGTCTCAATTATCTTTTAAAATGTTTTATTCTGTGGTGGAAACAAACTTCCAAAAATTATTGTATTGATGTTGTACTGTGAAAGGGGATACGGATAAGGTTAGGACAGGCTTATTGGTATGGGTAGGTTTAAATGTGAATAATTACAGCTTTATATGTGTATTCTGTGTAGTATGTGCATATTATATGAATCTGAAATCTAAGAAAATTAATAAAATGAAATGAAGCTGCAGTGATGTGTGATTGGAGAATAATGCCTATGACTGAACTGGGTTGCGTACGTCTAAAGCTTCAGTTTTCCCCATCAGGTACTTGGATAAAGTGCAGGCGCAGGATCTACAGACGATGGAGGTCTCACACTTTCTGTGCTCCTCCTGGCTGAGAGGCGAAACCTGCAAGAGGACCTTCAACTCAGCCAAGATGAATGAAATCGCAAGCTTTGGGTAAAAGCTTACATTCTCAAAGGCCCGGTTTACTCCTGGTATTAAGATGCGTTTTGGACGATCGGATCACAAGTAGACGAGAGACACATTCCTGTTCACACAAGTATCAAGTATCTTTGTGGGCGGGTCTCGGCGCTGTTGCTATTTTACCGGCGGTGTAAAACGTAACGGAAACAAACCAATAAGAGCGTCATATCACATTCCCTTTAAAGGGATAGTTCACTTTGAAATTAATTTTTAATATGTTTTATCTTACCTCGAGGGCATCCAAGATGTAGGTGTCTTTGTTTCCACAGTATTTTCAATTTTTATATTTTTAGGTCCAACCGTTCATGTCTATGAGTCATATAATGGAGGTCTATGGTCACCACCTCAAAGAGCATGCACAGAGAAGTCTAAATTAAACATGATTTAATGACTCGTAAATGTAAGTACACATTGATGGCCTAAGACACGAAACGAGCGGTTTGTGTGAGAAAACCAACAGTGTTTATCACGCCCTCAGATTACTTGGACGTGGCTGCGGTTACAAGAGCGCAAGTCTGTCATATCGGCTAAATATGGAAATTATCATGAGAACATTATAATTGTGTTTGGGATGTTGCTTTTAATGGTGAGACTTGTCAGGCTCATAAAAATTATATAAAAAATTGTATTTAGATTTATCAGCCAAAATATCGGTTTCAGACTCATAAAATTGTCGGTTATTGGTATCGGCCAAAATGTTAATATCGGTGCATTCCACTAAAGCTGTCAAAAGCTGAATTCTGAATATCTGAAAAGCATATATATATATATATATATATATATATACACACACACATTAGGGCTGGGTATTGACTCAAATTTCACAATTCGATTCGATTTCGATTCACAAGCTTGCAATTCGATTCGATTCGATTCAATATTGATTATTTTGGATATCAGTTACAATAAATGGCAATTTTTCTCAAGGAAATCAAATCTCTTAACTAATGCTGTAAACTATGGGTGTCTAGTTGTAGCCTATAGGCTTCATTAGCCTAATATGAAGGTAATAATTAACTGTTTCGTAGCTGTACAAACACTTAAATTACACTTATTTATTTTTATAATAAGAAGATTATATGAAATATAAACATTTAAATGGTGGCTGTTATAAAAACGTGCCAGATTTATTCAAATATGCATTAAAAATTGAAGAACATTAAGATTATAATGCATATGTAATATGGTGTATATATTTAGCAAAATGCTCCTCCTCATGCCACAGCGCCAAAACATTATTTATGTTTTTTGAATTTCTAAAGAAAATGGACGTAATTTGAAAATTGAGACTTTGTTTCATATCAATAGTAACAAAGGACAAAGATTATTGCGATTTTTTGGATGCGCGCAGCCGCGATACAATGATCCATTCATTCAAATGAAACAGGATGACTAATCGATTCTTGAGATTTAAGAATCGATATCGGTTCGTAAAAATGAGAATCGATTCATATCGAGAAATCGATATTTATTACCCAGCCCTAATGTACATACATACATACAGCAGGTGAAACTCCAAAAATTAGAATATCATGCAAAAGTTCATGTATTTCAGTTATTTAAATTAAAAGGTGAAACTAATATATTTAGTATATATAACTCTACATGAAGTATGCATGATTATACTTTTCAGAGGGCCGACATTTCTGTATTTAAAATCCTTTTTTTTTTTTCGATTTCAGGTAATATTCTAATTTTCTGAGATTTTGCATTTGGGGTTTTCATAAGCTGTAAGACATTTCCATCAAAATTATTACTTTTGCACGATATTCTAGTTTTTCGAGTTTCACCTGTTTGGTCAGTTGAGGAGCATCAAAATAAAGTGTTAGCAGATATTAACCTCTTAACCAGCGCCCCTATTTTTGAGAATTTTCTGAAAACGACATACCCAAATACAAATCTTTGTAGCTCTTGAACCCTATGGTCCACATTCATAACTCTGATATTTTTTTAAACTAGACACTTGAAACTTTGTTACCCAAGAGTCATTATAACTCAAAGTAGCATAGGAACAGAGTAAAACAAGGTAAAATATACATGAAATTAATTCACGATTTCTTTGAATAAACTTCATTTAGGGAAAAATGTATCAGAATTTTATGTTAAGGCCTTGAAAACACCATAAAGATAAAACTGAATGTCTGACCATGTTTTGATTCAAATTTGAGGAAGATACTCCCAAAAATGTAGTTTCTGTAAGCTTTTATTCAAGAAAAGTCTAGGCGTCCTTTCCAAAAAGCCACTTGGAGACTCCAAATGGATACCTGGTTACCAAATGACATAAGGAGTAAACACTACATACTACATACATGTTTATCCATTCAGAACTATTCTGCCCATCAAACTACACAAGAAAAAATTATTTCAGCACAACATTTTAACATTTTAACAAAATACTCTTTATTTTGAACATTTATAATAGCAAAAACAGTGAAAAAAAACCTCACTTCATTTATCCAAAAGTTATTGTTTTACTAATGAATAAAATATATAAAAAGAAAAAAATAACATTTGTAATTGCAACAGTGTTTTTTACTCAAATAAGTTACAATAAACAATTACAATGAATATCCAATTACAAAAACAAAAAAGCAACTGCTTACAGTATTTACAAAGTGTAGGAAGACATGTTGATCAAGGCAGTCACCACCAAGGTTTGTTCTGGAAACCAAAGCCACTGAAAGACAGGAGAAATAAAGTGTGTAAGCAGAACAAATAAAATTTGCACAGGAAAACACACACACAAAAGAGGATTTCAGTTTGAGTCACATTCATCTATTAGCAGCATCAATATTCCATCATATTACAATATCAAATGTCACATACCTTATCGTTATAATGCTCAACATTAAAAATGCTTTGTAATTATTATTTTTTCTATGTATAAAATTATATATATATTTACTATATCTTCACCTGACATCTTGTAATCCTTTCCTTCCATTATATTTATATTCATTACACCATTCATTCATATAAACGTATCACTGTTTACGTCTCATATCTTGCTAGTCATCTCCACTGTTATTTTATAATCAACACATCTTCACCTGACTTCTTATAATCCTTTCCTTCCATTATTGTAATATTCAATGCAACATAAATATAATGTGTGTGATAAAAATATTTTCTCTTTATGTATCGTTATAATATAACGTTACAGCTCTATCACCTGCTCGTGTAGCCTTGTGTCTTTGCTAGTAGCTAATGTCCATCGTCATTTTATAATCAAAAACATTACATGAACAGAAAAACTGCCAATAATAAACATAACAATAAATGACAATGTGTTGAAACTTACCGATCTAAAACGGGATCGAGTCCATGAACAAACATCTCCTCTCGACAGACGCTCGACACCGTGTTCAGATGCATCTCTCTGCGTCTTTGCTCTTCGTCGCTGCTTCTCATCACTTCCTCCAAAATACTCTCAACACCACAAAAACGCTTCTGTAGACGATGATCCATGATGGAGATTGTCAAATATAACTTTGGAGAAAATCTATGAGTTGATACGAGCTCCATGTAGCGAACCAATACATAGCCTATGCGCTCCGTGCGTAAAATGGCGAAAGTGCACGAGCGAATAACAACATTGCGCACTTGTGTTTGACAAATCTGCTTGAGAACTGTCAATCACTGCAATCGTGTTTTAATTGGTCAATACTCCCATCCATCAAAACATTGCCGATTACACATTGGCTGGCTATATCCAGACTTTATCCAGCCAAAAACCAAGATGCGAGATTGACAGGTTTCTAAGCCTGTCAGGCGGTCCCTTGGCATTTTGATCGATTACAGAGCCTGTGATTGAAGGAGAGAGAAGGGGGATGACTCATTTTATCCGGAAGAGTCTAAACTACAGGGGTGAGATGGCTTCTGAGTGTTGGAAAATGGATAAGAATCGATATTTCTTTGAAAATAAACATGACGCGAACTCTATCTCGAAAACGCTCATGCAAACAAAGGAGGATATTTCATTTTTTCCCCTATTTTTTCGTTGTTTTGGATTAAAAAGTGGGATGCATTTTGAAGAATGGACCCTTACATTGAAATGTATGCTGTTGTTTCTTGGATTCGTCCGAACTGATCTGAATCATAGATACAGTCGGTTGGTCTGGGAACGCCCCCGGGAACGCCCCGTCACGTGGTGTGAATTTAGCCCGTGGGGGAAATCATTGCCTTGGCGCTCATTGAAATACATGGGACAATCATGCCGAAGGGTTGCGGTGTCGTTTTCTGTACCACCAATAAACTAACAAATTACAAATTGAAGTTCTACAGCCTTTCTTACATACATGCAGAACCGGATAGGAGGACAAAATGGCAAAATTAATCATATCTTATTAGATTACTGTGTGAGTAGAGGTCCCTGTGTGATATAGTAGTAGATGTTTAACTCGTATTAGGCAGTGGGCCAGATTTGTCTGACGTTACGTCCCTTACGAAAAAGAACTATAGTAATCCTATGGCTATTAGTATTCTATAGTAGTGTATAATACTTCTGTGATGTTCATTAATACCTATACTTCTAGGCTATGTCCCAAAATACTATAGTATTCCTATAGGATTAACGTTACTATAATAGTTTGTCCTAAAATACTACAAGATTCCTTTAGTTGTTTTTCATAAGGGATGTTATTAGCGTTATCAGCTGAAGGTTATCAGACTGCAGTCTGTGAGAATTCGGATAACTGTCAGCAAAGTCCCTCTGCAACTTCGTAGCGACTACTTTGATCACCGTTTTACAAAAGGATTAATAGTTTGGAGTGAAGCATACGTATAATTGGTAAGTGACATGGTTTTATGGACTTATAGTAACTTATACGCAAGTTGATTGAGTTACAGGCTTGTGTTGCCGGTAGCTTCCGCGATGTCTTACCTGAAGATTCAACCAGATAATATAGCTGCGAGCAGCGATTGCGGGCCCAAGCCGGTGGCACCGCAACCCCGATGCCTTTAGTTACCCAAAG